TGCGCTGGCGCTGCCAATGCGGCTGCTGCCACTGCGGCTGCTGCTGCCACCGCTGCTGCTGCCACCGCGGCTGCTGCCACTGCGGCTGCTGCCCGCCTGGAGGCTGTGCTTGCCCCGACGAGCGCTGTCGCCTCGCTGCCTGCGCCGCGCCGCGCCTGCGCCGTGTGCAGAGGCGGGGTCCTGGGTGCGCATCAAGAATGGGCTGTACAAGGGCGACCTGGCCAAGGTGGTGGACACCGACCCGGGCACGCAGGTGTGCTGCGCCAGGCGACGGCGACATGTTGCTTGCTGTGGTGGTGCTGTGGTGGGTGGCATGCCGGTGGTGGCGGTGGTGGTGGGAGGCTGGAGGCCACGTTGCCCATGTGGGGCCGGCACTGCCACAGCCCGTGCCCTGACCTCTGCTTCCCCTGCCGTGCAGCGCGGTACCATCAAGGTGGTCCCGCGCCTCGACCTGGCGGCCCTGGCCAGCCGCAAGCCCGAGGATGCGAAAGCCAACTTTGGGAAGCAGCCCAAGGTCAAGCCGCCTGCCAAGCCCTTCAACCCGGATGAGGTGGGTGGGCAGGCAGGAGCCCGCTGGGAGGCAGGGTTGCGGGCGTGCCGAGGGAGAGGCCGGCCGGCCAGCGCTGGTGGAAAGATGGCCCCGCGCGGCTGCCCCTCGCCCCTCCTCCCTGCCTCGCTCTGCCCTGCCGGGCCTGGCCTGCTGCCAGACCTACATGCCAGCGCTGGTGGTCACCCCTCACGCCTGCGCCCGCGCCTTTCCCTCCCGGGCCCCGCCTGCTCCCGCAGGCGCGCAGCCACCGGCTGGACGTGGTGCAGCACCGCGACCGCACCACGGGCGACGTCTACCTCATCCTCAACGGCAACAACCGCTTCCTGGAGGGCTACCTCATCAAGACGGTGCGGCGGCGGGGCGGCCGCTGGTCGCTGGCGGGGCTGGGACTGCTGGCTGATCGGTGCTGGGGCTGGCTGGCTGGCTCACTGGTGCTGTTGCTGGTGCTGGCTGAGGTGGCCCGCCACAGGTCAGCTGGAAGGCAGAGGCAAGCGCTTGCCTGCGGGTAGCCGGCAGCTGAGCCGTGGCCACCGCCGCCCGCGCCCGCCCACCCGCTCCGCCGCCCTCCCGAGCGCAGGTGGCCCTCAAGAGCCTGGAGCTGCAGGAGGCGCTGCCGCCGCTGGACGAGCTGCAGAAGTTCAACGCCGCCGCGCAGGTGCCCGCCCGCGGCGCCCGGGAGCGCTGGGGCTGCTTTGCGAGGCGGCGCAGCGCGCAGCACGAGCTGTCCCTCTGTCGCTCTGTCTCGTGATGCCCCGGATCCCGACCGCTGACCCCACGCCCTTAATCCCTCCCCGGTCCCTCCCCCCCTGGCTGTGCTGCCACAGTCGGATGAGGGCGGCGGCACCGACCTGGCCAGCCTGGTGCAGACGCTGCAGGCGGAGGGCGGGGAGGGCGGCGGCGCCGCCTCCGTGGCGCCCAAGTTTGAGAAGGGCGACCGCGTGCTGGTGGTGGAGGGTGAGCGCATGGGGCTGCTGCTGCTGGTGGTGTGTGTGCGCGTGTGTGTGTAGTGGTCGTGGGTCAATCGGTGGGGGGGAGAGCCACCTGCCCGCTTGCCTGCCTGCCCTCCCTGTGCTCCTGTGCTGCCCCGCCGCCACCCGTGCATCCATCCATCCACCCATCCACCCACGCCTGCCCCCTCCGCCCCCACCCCACCCACCCATGCCCATGCGCGCCTGCCCCCGCAGGCGACCTGAAGAACATCCAGGGCCGCGTGCAGCTTGTCACCGAGGACGGCGGCGTGATGGTGACGCCGGAGGACGCCGCGCTTCCCGACTTCCGGGACGCCATCCGCTTTGAGCCGCGCGAGGTCACCAAGTACTTTGAGGTGTGTGTGTGTGTGTGTGTGCAGGAGGGGTGGTGGCGTGGGTGGTGGGAGGTGGCTGTGTGGGGGGGGCCGGGAGGGCTTGAGTCGCCTTCATGGCGATGAGGGCCACGCCTGCGCTTCCCCCAGCCGCCAGTGCACCCCCTTGGCCCTTGCTCCCTTGCCTCGCGCTTGCTCCCCCCCCCCTCCCCCCACCGGCAGAGCGGCGAGCACGTCAAGGTCATCCACGGCCAGCTGAAGGGCGAGACGGGCATGGTGTGGGGGGTGGAGGGCCCCTTTTGTTACATCTTCACCGACGCGACGCAGCAGGAGCTGCGCGTGTTCACTCGTGACCTCACCCTGGCCGTCGCCACCTCCTCCAGCCTCGACTCGTGAGCGGTGCAGTCGGCCTGCGGGGCCTGCCGCAGCTCAAAGCCTGCCTGCTGCAGCTGCGCCTGCTGGAGCCTGCCTGGGCTGCTGCGTGCCCGCTGCTAGGGCAGCGCGGCCCCTGCCCGCCTAGCTTCCCTTGCCGCCAGCCCCCTCCGCCCTCGTCCCGCCATTAACCGCGGCCCTCCGTTGCCCCGCATCCGTGCATTTGTACTGCAGGCTGGGCGGGTACGAGATGCACGACCTGGTGGTACTGGACAATACCACTGTGGGGGTGATCGTGAATGTGGAGCAGGATGCGCTGCGGGTGCTCACCAACCAGGCATGTGGAGGGTGGGGCAGGGGTGGCTGCGTGTGGTGCGGCGCTTGGGTGGGCGTGGGCGTGGGCGTGGGCGCTGGGGTGGGCGGGGAATGAGGCTTGCTAGCGCTGGCTGGAGGCAGCGCGTGGTTGCCGGCTGTGCGCCCACCGCCTGCTCTGCCCCTCCCAGGCAGTCGTTGCCTTACACCGCCGTCCCCTCCCTCCCTCCTTCCGCCCTCCCGCTCCCTCCCTGACAGGGCCGCCCCGACAAGCCCGACATCCGCGTCTGCCGCCTGCCCGACATCAAGCGCAAGATGATGAACAAGCGTGCCAGCGTCAAGGACGGAGGTGGGGCGCGTCCGCCACCCTCCTCCACATCCGGCTGTGCCATCCGCTTGCTAACCCCCCCAGCCTGCCTGCCCCCACATGCATCTCCACCCATATCACACAACAAACACCCAACAAACACCACCCCGCCGCCACCATTTCCACCCATGCTGCCCTGCAGCCGGCAACGACGTGGGCGTGGGCGACATGGTGGACGTGGTGGATGGCCCGCTGAAGGGGCGGGGCGGTACCGTGCGGTACATCATGCGCGGCTTTGTGTTTGTGCAGACCCGCGAGGTGTCGGAGCATGCGGGCTTCATCTGCCTGCAGGCGCGGCACACCAAGGTGCGCCCGCGGCTGGCTGCGTGCGGCTGTGGCTGGGGAGGCTGGTGGGGAGGCGGGGAGGCTGAGGTCTGGGCTGTTGAGGCAGCGGCGTGCAGAGGGCATGTGGAGCTCAGCTCTGGGGGTGCTGGCTTTGGGCGTGCTGGCTGTGGGGCTGCTGAGCGCCCCCGCTGGCCCACCCGACCCCTCCCGCAGGTCCGCGGCGGCAAGGGTCGGCCCATGGGCGGCGGCGTGGGCATGACGCCCGGCCGCTCCCCGGCCTATGGCAGCCTGCTGGCCTCGCCGCATCCCAGCCGCGGCATGCAGCAAAACGTGCTGGCCTCGCCCGGCCGGCAGGGCGGGCCGGGAGGGTACGGCGGCGGCGGGCCGGCGGGCGCCGGCATGTACAGCGGTCGTGTGTCCACTCAGCAGGTGGGCGGGCATGCGTGTGTTTTGGCGGAGGGCGGCGGCGCTGTGGACCACAGGGCCACCACCTGGCTCTGCCCACGTCCTGCTGGGCTTGGCGCCTGCCTGCCTGCCTGCCTGCCTGCCTGCCTGCCTGCCTCCCCACCTTGCCGTGCCCCTGCCGCCCGCCTGCTCCGCCGCCGCACAGGACAAGATGCTGGAGGGGCGCAGCATCACGATCAAGAAGGGCCCCTTCCGCGGCATGCGCGGCCGTGTCATCTCCGCCACCGCCACGCACGTCAGGCTGGAGCTGGAGGCGCAGATGAAGACGGTGACGGTGGACAGGTGGGGGTGTGTGGGGGAGGGAGAGTGTGTGTGTGTGTTGTGTGTGTTGTGTGCGTGTGTGTGTGTGTGTGTGTGCCTGGGTGTGTGGGTGCCTGGGCGTGGCTGGCAGGTGCCTGGGCTCAACACCCGGCCCCCCTGTGGAGAGGCAGGGAGCAGGCAGGGTGCTGCCCTGCCTCCTGCAGCCTGCGCCCTCGCACCCTGCCCCGCCTCGCTGCCCTTGCCCTGCCCAGCCCACACACGCCGCCCGCCTGCCTTGCCTGCCTTGCCCCGCCCCCGCAGGTCGCACCTTGCTCTGGAGGACGGCGGGCGCACAGAGGCGGCGCCCCGCCCCGGCTACGCCTACCCGGCAGCGCCCACGCCCATGGCTGCGGGCGGCCGCACGCCCATGCACCCGGGCATCCACGCTACCCCCGCGCACTACTCCTCTCACACCACCCCCGCGCACCCGGGCATGACGCCCGGCCGCGAGGCGCTGACCAAGACGCCGGCCTACGACGCGGCCTGGGCGGCCACGCCCGCGCACCCGGGCGTTGGGGGAGGTGAGGCGCGGCCGCCCGGCTCCCGCTGCATCCAGCCGCACGCATGGCTGAGCGCTGCCAATGCGCCCCAGCGCCGCTGCCGCCTCCTGTGCGATGCTGTGGATGTGCGGCGCAGGCCTGCCCCTGCCTGCTCCGGCCCTGCCTCGTGGCCCCCAGCTCCACCTCGCCCTCCCCGTCCTTTCCTCCTTTCCTCCTTCCCCTGTGCCGCAGGCGGCGGCGCGTACCCCAACGCCGGCACCCCCGCCTTTGCCGACACACCCGGCACAGTCAACCCCTCGCCCGGCGGCATGGGCTATGGCGCTCAGTATGCCCCCTCCCCAGCAGCCTACGCGCCCTCCCCTGCCGGCTACGCGGCTGCGGCGGGCACGCCAGCGGTGGCGGGCACGCCGGGCATGCCGGGCATGTATGCTGCAGCAGGCACGCCAGGCATGTATGCGGCCGCGGGCACGCCGGGCGTCTACGGCGCGGCAGACATGCCGGCCCCCACGCCGGGCGGCGGGCAGGGCAAGTACGGCGGCGGCGGCGCCCCGGGCGCCAGCTACAGGCACTGGGCGGAGGTGGAGGTGGTGCTGCCTGGGGGCGAGCGCGCCGCGGTGCGCAGCGTGGAGGGAGGCACCGCCACTGTGGCCATAGGGGCTGCGCAGGGCGACCAGGTGTGGAGCTACCCTGCCGACGCGCCCACCCGCAGCGTGGCGGTGGGAGACATGCAGCTGGCACCACTGCCTGTGGGCAAGAGCTTCATACGCGTCGTGGGCGGGGAGCTGGCGGGGCAGTACGGGCAGCTGGTGGGCACAGACAGCGGCGACGGCATCGTCAGGCTGGGCGCCGACATCAAGATCATCAAGCTGGCGGAGATTGGGAGGCTGGCGGTGCAGCCGCCGGCACCAGCGGGAGAGGCGGGCGACGGCGCGCCGCCGCCCCCGCCGCCCGCATGAGCTCCCCTCTTGCCTTGCTCCAGTTGTTTGCTCCCTCCTCCCTGCTGTCGCTTGGTTCCCGCTCCCTCTGCTCCCCGCTCCTCTCTGCATTGCTGCCGCGGCTTGACATGCCCATTCTGCAAAAGTGTAATGCGGCCTTGTCAGGATTTTGGGGAGCTGAGGAGGCACTTTCCTCCAGCTTCGTCCTGCACCGTGCCTGCACGCGGTTTGACACACGGAACCCTAAGCAATTCTGCCTCGATCCTCTCCGATTGCCGCACTGTCCAACATGCGTGCGTGGGCAGCCCTGGTGGGGCTGTCCCTGCTGGCCTGCGCCCACGGCCGCCTGCTGCTGCAGGAGCAGCCGCAGCAGCAGTGCCCCGCGATTCCCAGCTGGGACTACTCCACGTGCTATGCTGCAAGTGAGGCAGGCTGGGCCTGGCATTGGACGGCCACTGTCAAACCTTGAAGCCTTAACCCGCCGGGACTCAGCCCCTGGAGGGCGCTCTCTTGCTGCTGCTCGCCTTGCATGAAACCCAAGGCCCATTCCTGGCCCTTACACCCTGCAGCGGACGAGTCGCCGCCGAGCGCAGCGCCGCCGTCCGTGCAGTCCGCGGCAGGACCCACCGAGGATGCCCTGCCGCCCCGCTGGGGTGGAGATGGCATGGGCGCCGCGCCCAGCCCTCTGCCCGAGCCCAGCGCCAACACGACTGCCAACGCCAGCAACCCCTTTGTGTCCAGCGACCGCCCTCCGCCTCAGGTGATGGCGGCGCAGGGCGCCTTCACCTCCGGACCTCGCTCCATTGGCTTCAAGACTGGCGGAGCCCAGGCGCGCGTGCCGTGCCGGTCGGTGCCATGCCCCGTGCTTGCCTGAGCAGCTGTTGAGTCGGGCGCTTGCCCCATGCTTGACAGAGCAGCTGTCGAGTCAGCGCCGCACGGTGTGGCCACCCACCCACCCCCCGCAGGACGTTGAGAACTTCAGGGAGAACGTCAAGCAGGGGTACCTTCCGCTGCCCACAGATGTCACCTTTGAGGGAATTGCAAAGGACTACTACTTTGACACCACGTCGGTCCCTGCCTGCGTGGCTGCGCCCGGATACTGTGTGTACCATGCATACACATAAACAGTCCGCGCTGCCGTTGATCTCCCCTCCCACCCTTCCCCACCTGCCCCGCAGCTCCAACACCTCCCAGCCCTGCACCGAGCTGTTCTGCCCCATCTACTCCCTGGCAGCCGCACCAGACCCGCTGCGCAACGCCAGCGCGGCACGGAGGCGCAGCCTGCTGCAGGCCGCCAGTGCGCCTGTGGATTCTCAAATTTACATGGCGGTTGGGCTGGACTCGGGCAAGTGGAGAGCCACCCTCGGGCTGCTCCCTGCATATGCATCACCCCTGGGGCAGCACTTGCCTCCGCACCTTCAAGATGCTACCGTCGACGACCGCCAGCCTGCTGGCCGCCCCTCCCAGTTGTGCCGCTTGCCTGCCCGCCAGTCGCTGCCTGCAGGCTTGCAGGCCTCCGACTTCCGCCGCCCGCGCCTCAACCTGGTGCTGCTGCTGGATGTGAGCGGCTCCATGGGAGAGAGCTTCATGAGCTACTACTACGATGCAGCCGGCACGCAGCAGAACCTGACGGCCGAAGGTGGGAGGGGCCAGCTGGGAGGGGCCTGCAGGGAGGCGAGGAGGCACCTTCGGAAGCACCCCGCCCGCAGGCATTCAGCAGCGCTCCCGCCTGCCCAAAATATTCCCCGCTACCTGTCCCTGCCGGGCTGCCCCCCCAGAGCTCAACACAACCAAGATAGATGTGGCCAAGGAGGTTCTATCGGGGGTGCTGGACCTGCTGGCTCCCAACGACTCTGTCGCTATTGTTCTGTTCTCCACCAGAGCCTGCACGCCCCAGCCCCTGTCCCGCGTCAGCTGCCTGGACATTCCAGCGCTGCAGGCGCAGGTAAGCCTGCTGGATCATGCCGGTGGATGAGGCCTCCCGGCAGGTCATGCTGTCTGATAGCGTCCATTGACAGGGATGGTCTGCTGCGGCTCGCCTGCAGATTGACAAGGACATGCACGCCACCTCCTCCACCTCCCTCTCCGCCGGCCTGGACTTGGGTGAGCAAGCAAGCCTTTCTCATCAGATTTCGAGCAGGCCATTGCAAGGCCAGCTGGCCTTGCAATCTGCCACATTTCTCACCTCTTGCCATGCCCTTCTGCTCCCATCCCGGCCGGCGCAGCCATCGCGGAGCTTAAGAAATGCAGCGAGGGGATGAGCGCCAGCCTGACGGACACCGAGAACCGCATCATGGTCATCACAGACCAGCAGCCCAACTCTGGGGACTACACAACGGGAGGGCTGGCTGCACGGCTGCGCAAGGATGCCGATGACGGCATCTTCACCACCATCATCGGTAGGGGACGTTGCACAGCAAGGGGAAGCCGGACTGATGACAGAGTCTCGTGTGATGGCGTGCAAATCGCGCTGCTTGCCGGAAGCCACCAGCCCTTGCTCTGGCACAGGCGTGGGCCTGGACCTCAACAGCGAACTCGCGGAGAGCATCAGCAAGGTGCGCGGAGCCAACTACTACTCCGTTCACCGCCCTGGCGAGTTCAGGCGCCGCCTCACAGACGAATTCGACTTTGCTGTCACGTGAGCAGCAGAAGGGGAGCTTGAAGGCTGGAAGGCTGCCGATGTATCTTGTCTGCCTGGGCTGCTCCTGGGCACCTAGCCCTGCCTGCAACCCTCTATTCATGCCTGCTGGTGGCTCTGGCCCTCCCTGCAGTCCTCTTGTCTTCGACCTGTCCCTGGCTGTGGACCCGGGCAGCCTGGGAGAGCAGGGGTGGAAGGTGCTGCACGTCTACGGCTCGCCCAACCCAAACGACACCGCCCTGAACGCCGCCGGCACCATCACGCAGGTGGGACCAGCCTGACTGCAGCAAAGGGGTACCATGCCTGACCTCCTTCCTATCACTGACAGGCCACACCCGCCTTCCCACACCCCTCAAGCAGGTCAACACGCTGTTCCCCTCCCCCAAGACGGAGGAGGGCATCAAGGGTGGCGTGGTACTGCTGCGCATGCACCCACCGACCGCCGGCAACGCCCCCCTCAAGCTCACCGTCACCTACACCGACCGCTCAGGCCGCCAGTTCAGGTGGGGAGTTGGACACTGTGCAAAGGATGGATGCTGACATGTCTCAGGGAACGAAGTGTGACGCTATCTGCCTGCTCGCTCTGCCTGTGCCCGCAGCTCCCAGCGCACCGTGGCAGTGCCGGAGCAGGCCCTGCCCGCTTCAGGCGCTGTCAGCAGCGATGGCAGCAGCTTCTTCGGCTCCAGCGGTGTGCGCAAGGCGGTGCTGCTGGCTCGCTACACAGACATCCTGCACGACTGGTGGGCTGGCAGGGCAGCCACCGTGAGGCTGTTGCATGCGCCTGTTAAGCGTGCGCATTTGTGTGCAATGTGGCAGAAAGGAGGAGCACGCCCCCCTGAGCACAGCCCCTGCGTCCACCCCCCAAACCCTGCAGGCTGCTGGATCAGTGGGCAGCAGTGGATACCAGCCGCCGCCCCATCGCCATCCCCGCTGCCGAGTGCGCCAGCCTGCCCGCTGACTACTGCCCCGTCCCTGTCGAGCTGTACGGCCAGCGCATTATCGATGGCGGCGGCTGCGCCCTCGATCGCTGGCTGCTGCCAGACGCCTGCCTGCTGCCCCCGCCCTACCCCGTGCTTCTGCCCCTGCTGGGGCGCTGGGAGCGGCAGAGCGAGAAGCTGGCGGTTGGGCCTGAGGCGCGCCGCGCTTTCCAGGAATTTCTACCCTACTTTGAGGGAGAGATGGCGGCGGTGGGGGACCCCAGCCTGAGGCAGGAGGTGGAGCTGATGAACAGGATCCTGGCGGCATGAGGTGGCGCGTCAAGCATTGAACAGCAGACTGCACAGCAGCAGTGCCACGAGAGAGAGACGTTTCCTTGTTATTACCCGCCAGTGTCACATTTATCTGATGCTCTTGGATCTGTTGACATTGCACATGGCATTCAGTTGTGAAAAGAGATAGCTAAGGTGCGGGAGTTTGGTTTTGGGCCCGCCATTGTATCCTGCCATCTCTCCCTGCCCTCCTGTAGTGATGGAATTCACAAGATGCGAACGTGCTCATCCAGGATGAAATGTGCCACTGGGCTTGCGGCCGAATCGTGGTGCAGGGCTCCCGCCAGTCACCGCCCGCCACCGCCCGCCTGAGTGGCGTCGCAAGGAAAGTCGGGTGGCGTCTTTGGGAGTGCGCGGCCCGATGTCAGTTACTTTTCACACGCGCATGCCGTGCTCAAGGGATTGATGAGGGAGCACACAGTTTTGAGGTAGTCGCAACGCGATCCAGAGGGCGGGGCGGCCGCCATGACTCTCAGATGGAGGCTGCCCAAGCTTCAAACAACCAAAGAGTTGCTGCTGAAGCGGGCGTTCAGCGCCAGGTGGTTGCCGCCCGCCGCCTCCTGGTGCCAGCACCGCCGCGCCGACGCTGTCGCGCTACGACTAGTTGCATGGGTGGATCGACCAAGCCCCTGCCAAATGAGAGAAATAGGCTCCCGGAGAAATAGGCTCCCGTGCCTCTGTTTGCGTAGACCGCCTCACAACAGCCGCCTCCTGGTGCCGCAGGACTCTGGAGGAGCACCGCCAGCGTTCCGGCACCAATGAGCTCCCCAAACTGCTGGGGTCCTGGGACTTGGTGTTCATTGGCATAGGCTCCATCATCGGCGCAGGCGTGTTCGTGCTGTCGGGCGTCGCCGCCAACGAGCTCGCCGGGTGCGTTCCTGCTTGTGGTTCGCTTTCAATTTTCTTATTCAGACAAGGCGGATCTCACCCTCGCCTTATCCACGCCTTGCAGCCCCGCGGTGATTGTGTCGTACCTTGTGGCGGGCGTGGCGGCCCTGCTGTCCGCGCTGTGCTACGCTGAGATGGCGGTGTCGCTGCCCATAGCAGGCGGCGCCTTCAACTACATCTGCATCACCTTTGGGGAGCTGGCGGCCTGGTGAGAGCCGGCATGAAGGCAGGGAGGAATTGGCAAGCTGCAGTGTTGGCTGACTGGCTTTGCGCATGTGGTGCCATGCGCCCGGTACCGGCCCTCCTCATGCTCCACGCCCGCCTCCTGACGCTGCATTGCTTGCGGAACCACCCTGGGTTTGCCTGGGTGCCTCCAGGACGGTCGCCTGGAACATGTGCCTGGAGATCACGCTGTCGGCGGCGGCGGTGGCACGCGGCTTCGCCTCCTACCTCGCCACCCTGTTTGGCCTGGCCCCCTCGGCCCTGCGCGTGTCGGTGGGCCCGGTGCAGCTGGACCCTGCGGCGGTGCTGCTCATTGCGCTGCTGACCGCCATCTTGATCAAGGGCACCCGCGAGAGCAGTCTGTTCAACATAGGTGCGGGTGCAGGGCGCAGGCTGTGGAGGTGGCTGGCGCCGTTGCTTGCACCTTTGCACAGCCCCGGCGCCAGTCTTCCTGCCTCTGAAACCTGTAGGGCTCACAGGCATGCATGGCCCTCCTGCTGCCTGCCTGTTGTGCGCCTGCAGTCGTGTCGGCGCTGAACCTGGCCAGTATCATGTTTGTGCTGTGCGCCGGCTTCCCCAAGGCCCAGCCAAGCAACCTGTACGACCACGGCTTTGCGCCCTACGGAGCAACGGGCGTGCTGTCTGGCGCTGCCGTGGTGTTCTTTGCCTTCATTGGTGAGCCAGGGCAGTGATTGGGCCCAGGATGCCCTGCTTGCGCTGTGGGATCACCCACCCGCCAGCTGGGCTGTGTTACAACACCTGTGTTGCCACGTCGGCTTGACGTGCCCCTCCCTGCGCTGCAGGGTTTGACTACGGTGAGGGCCTTTCTGCAAACCCCTGGCACTTGCGAAGCTGCAGGGACTTGGCGTGTGCCTGGCCTGGCCTGCTTGCTAGCAGCATCCGCGTGTGCGGGCCTTGTGTTAGTGACTGCCTTTGGATGTTTGCCCGACTCCAACCCCATCATCCACCCCACCTCGCCCCGCCTTGCGCAGTGGCCAACGCGGCCGAGGAGGCCAAGGACCCCGCCGCCGACATCCCGATGGGCATCGTGGGCTCCCTGGGCATCGCCACCCTGCTGTACGTGCTGATGGCGCTGTGCATCGTGATGATGGTGCCGTACCAGCAGATCGACGTGAACGCCCCCTTCTCCGCCGCATTCCTGGCGCACAGCATGACGTGGGCGGCGCGGGTGGTGTCGCTGGGCGCGGTGCTGGGTGCGTCGTGCCGGTGGGGCGCAAGCGCAGCGCATGCTCGGCATGGCGGGTGTGCCTGCTGGCCTCCCTGCCTACCCTTTCCTCCTGCCCATGTGCGTCTCCACTCCCTTGCTGCCTGTCTTCCCACCCAACCCCGCAGGAATCGTGACGTCCGTTATGACTGGCCTGCTGGGCCAGTCGCGCCTGCTGGTGGTGCTGGGGCGCGAGCGCCTGCTGCCCGCCCGCCTGGCCGCCATCAGCGAGCGCACGGGCACCCCCATCCAGGCGACCCTGCTGACGGGCGCCATGGCGGCGGCCCTCGCATTCGTGCTGGACATCGGGGTGCTGGCGGAGCTCGTCTCCATCGGCACGCTCTACGTCTTCTTCACCGTGTGCGCGGGAGTGCTGTACATGCGCTTCCACCAGCGCGACAGCGGCTCCAGCCCCGTCCCCGTGCTGGCCGCGCTGGCGGGCCTGGTGGTCACGGCCCTGGGTGAGCTCTCCCAGTGCCGGGGTCTGCACCAGTCAGCTGGGCCACATACATGTATGCGCAGGTTGCGTCGTGCACGGCCCATCTTCCCCGGGCCCACGCCCTCCTCCTCCGCGGCACCCCCCGCCTTCCCCTGCAGGCTTCAGCCTCTCCTTCACCTTCTCCGCCCCCTGGGCCGCTGTGGCGGCCTTCCTGGGTCTGTTCCTCGCCATCATGGCATCCCTGAAGCTGCTGCCCGTGCAGCACGTGCCCCAGCGCTTCCAGGTCCCGCTGTTCCCCTTCACCCCCGCCCTGGGCATCCTCTTCACCATCTACCTCGTCTGCAGCCTGGGCTGGCCCGCCTACGTGCGCTTCGGCGCCTGGATGGTGGCGGGGCTGGCGGTGTACGCCCTGTACGGGGTGCACGGCGCGGAGCAGCGGGAGATGGAGCACAACAGGCAAGCCTCTACTGTCATGCACCCGCTGGGTTGGGCAGGGAGCGTGCCGGCAGGCAGGTGTAGCAGCAGTACACTGCCTGGCTGTGCCTAAGCGCCATGCTTTGCACACGTGGCGTGCCTCCCTGCCCCGCCCCCTGCAGGGAGCTTCAGGAGCGGCACGCGCAGCGGGCCAACGGCGCTGCCAATGGCGACCTGTCCTCGCCGCACCGCCTGGGGTCGCTGGATCGAGAGGGCTACGCCGGGCCCATGGGGTCTGTTGAGCTGGAGGCCGGGCCCGCGGTGTATGGGGAGGCACAGGCGGAGGCGCACATGCGGCGGCACCAGCAGCAGCACCGGCTGCTGGCGGGGCACGCCAATTCATCAGCCTATGATGCAGGCGAAGACTGAGCAGAGCACTGTCGCGCGCCTCCTGTTCCTTCTGCTGTTAATGGACCCTGCGCGCCATCCTATACCTTTCATGACTCGCTACTCGTATACACACACTTGTCAACTTATCTTGTTTCGTGCTCGCTCGCTCAAAAATGCTGCTCTGATCTACCCACTTGAACTCCAATGAATGCGCTGAACCATGTCTTCCACTCTAGGGTTCCATGCGGCGGAATGTGGCTTGCTGGCACTGACCCGCCCCAATCTACTGCTGCTGCTTGTCCAGGCGGTACTGGCTGATCTGCACCTCTTCTCCCACGTCGGCATAGTCGCCTGCAACCACACAAACACAGGGAGGGCAACGGCCCAGCAAGTGAACATGGGGAGAGCAGCGGGCTCCCACACCCCGCGCAACCACGAGTGCCGGTGTGGAGAGGTGCCAGCAGGCTGTGCATGGTAGGCACGGCGCCGCACCTGCGTAGCGCTTGGCGCGGAAGTCTCCCCAGTTGATGGGGCGGTACATGGGCGGGTGGCTGGCATCCACAAACTGCGCAGCAGGGGCGGGGCAAGCAGGCAGGCAGGCAGATGAGCAGGAGGCTGCCTGCTTGGCGGCTTCCTGCTCCCTCTCTGGAGCAAGCCTGTTGGCCCCCACTGGGCCACACATGCCTGGGGCAGGGGCGCGATGTCTGCATCGGGGCGCGGGTTGAAGAAGAAGGGGGCGGAGTAGCGGCGGCGCCCCCGCGATGCCAGCACTCGGTGCAGAGGCGCCTTGAAGCGATCATTGGACAGCACCTGAGGCGGCGCCCGGGAAAGCGGGGCGTCAGTCGTGCAGGGTGAGGCGTTGGCCATGCCAGGCACAACTGACACAGCGCAGCATAGCATGCGCAGCGTGCAAAGCGCCTGCCCTGCCTGCCTGCCCGCCATCCGTGCACCCTGCTCCGCCACTCACCTGGCACTGATCTCCCACGTTTATCGTCAGCGCGCCAGGAATGGGCTGCACCAGCTGCCACCTGCCGTCTGCTGCCTGTACTTGCAGCCCCGGCACATCGTCTTGCACCAGGACGGTCAGGAAGCCCGCGTCTGCTCAGGCAGGGGCACGCGTGGGGCAGGCGCTGATGGAGGCAGACAGCAACTGCATCGGCCCCACAGCTTAGCCCAGCCCAGCAGAACGCCTGCCAACAATAAAATCATGTGCTCACGCAGCCTGCGGCGCTCATACGGACGGCATGTCACCTGTGTGGTGGTGCACGCCGAGCAGCTCCTCATCTCCTGCCCGCTGCTGCTGCTGGGCCTGCTGCGCCAGCGGGTGCTGCTCTGGGTAGTAGTTGAGCCGCAGGAAGCCGGTGTGCTGGCCCTGCGCGGAGCGAGGAAAAGGCAAAGAGCAAGCATCTTGCTCCCTTGCCACCCATGCTTGGCAGCAGGCTCCCCCTCCAGCGCCTCAGGCTCTGAGCCACCCACCCGCTTCCTCGGTCCTCACCTGGAACAGGTGGTGCAGCGCGGTTTGCTCCATGCCTAGCCCCTCACAGAACGCCTCCAGCAGGCGGAAAGAACAGCGCTCCACCTCAGCAAAGTATGCCATCACAGCAGCCCGAAACTCGGGCTGCAGGGCAGGGACAGGCAGGCCCGGGGCCAAGCTCATCAGCAGTAAGAGCAGGGATGCGTTCCTGGCCTGGGCCGGCCGCACGACGACAACAAGACGGCCTCCGCTTGTGGCGTGCCGACCCTTCCGCCGACTGCACCTGCCCCGGCGGCCACTGGTTGTGACCCTCGATGGTTCGGTTGTCTGGGTGGTCATCGGGCAGCTCGGGGTGCGGCACCCTGCCACAATCAAACACCTCCTTCAGGTCCAGCGACTGCTTGGTCAGCTCTGCAGGCAGGCAGCCAGGAAGGCAGGCCGGCAGGGCAGCAGCTGATGGGCGGCCTGCAGGCTGAACTGGCAGTGGGAGGGGCACGGGCACCAGGCTGGCAGGTCAGCGGCTGCTCCGGCTTGGTGCAGGGCGCCCCCTACCATCATGCGCATAGCCCATTGCATTGCCTTCAGTCCTCTTGGCCTGCACAGACAAACACTGGGGCAGACGTTAGGTGTGCCAGCCGCGTACCAGCGGGGCTGCCGCCCGCTGGAACACCGCGCGCCCGCGCACCTGCAGTTTGGTCTCAAGCGGCAGGTCGAAGAAGCTGTGCATTGCCCTGGTCATGCGCTGCAGCACCGCCACATCGCTGCCGTGGTTGACCAGCTGGAAGAAGCCCCATGAAGAGGCGGCCCGTGCTATCTCCGCTGCCACCGCCGCAGGCACGTCGGTGGTGCCGGGCCGCAGCAGCTGCTGCGCGTCGATCACAGGCGGCCCGCCGGGGCCCTGATCCGGTGCGCCGTGATATGGCCCGCCACTGGCTCCGTGTGCTGCGGATGAGGGGTGGTTCGCGGGCATTCCTTTGGTTGCCAGCCGCCCCTGGATTACAGCTGTGCGCAGACAGCTTGCGATTAGAAGCCCACAAGATAGTGCAGGGAGAGCCACAACGTGCGCGAGCTGGGGGGGTGCTTTCTAGTGAGCCAATGGCGGTGGCGCCAGCTGGCGCAGTGGACCGCCCTGCCATCCTGTCCCTCATTCGATGCTGTATTACAAAGAGGTTAGAAAAAATCAGCCAACATGGGGAAAAGAGTGTACAGGATGGTAACTAAAGGGGGTGAGCCTATGTGGCGCAGCCGCCCTTGAAAAATGGTCCACCCGTCGTGCAAGCAAACGGCAATGTCAGCGTCTGGGCGTGCATGCTGCAGACTGGTTATCCGGTGGATAAGGACGGGTGGGGTGGGTGGGGGGATTCGTTCGCTCGGTCTCCGTAGGTCGGAGGTGGGGCTGGTCAGTCGGCGGTGTACGTAGACAGATCCGGCGTGGCGGCGACAGAGTAGATGCTGAGGATCTTGCCCTCGCTGGGCGCCCCCTTGCTGCTGAGCAGCACCAGCATGTACCTGCAGGCAGGGTGAGCAGCTCCGGGAACCGTGACAAGCAGGAGGGAGGCGGGAGCACCCATGCCCTGCCTGCGAGCCTGTGCAACCTCCATCTATCCATCCGTCCACCCCACTTTTCTCACATGCCAGGCGGAAGCAGGTTGCTGTTGGCGGGGGTGTCGAGCGACAGCGTGCCGTTCACGTTGGAGAGGATGTTGAGCCAGAGCGCACGTGCATCTGCGCAAGGGTGGCGGGAACCCGGCAGCCCGTCAGCCCAAACCACGCCGGCAGCCCATGGCAGGCTGCTCCCCCCCGGCCAGCGCCTGCTACCAGGCGCGTGCTGTGCGCCTGCTGCGGCTGTGCAGGCGCACCAAAGGCCATGGAGTGGGTGGCCACCCCGGTGCGGATCAGGATGGCTTTGGTGACGGGGTCGGCGGAGGTGTAGGTGATGTTGAGGTCGTCGCCGGGCAGCATGGAGTCGGGGAACGAGGTGATGACGGGGCGGGGCCCCAGGTTGAGGTACGGGGGCGAGAAGATCTCGGCGGTGGTGTCGTTGGTCACCTCTGAGGCGGCGGCCAGGACCTGCGAGCACGGGCAGGAGCGGGCAGGAGGCCAGGGCTGGCAGGCAGGTGAGGCTGCTGCCCAGGGCATGGGGCGGTGGGCAACGTGAGGGGCCACTCGCAGCTGGCAGCTGCTGCGCAGTGGAGGGCGAAGTGCTGGCGCCGCCCTGAGTCACCCTGCAGTCGGGCAGCAGCAGATGGACAGAGTGGTAGAGGCGGGGCCGCGCCGGCTCGTCCTGGCTGCCCGCCGCCGACCAGCGTGAGATGACGGGGTCGAAAATGGTGGGCTCGTAGCGGTACGGCTCGTGCGCCAGGGTGCACCGCTCCTCGCAGTCGTACGTGCTGCCGTCCTTGAACTCGTAAAACACGGGCTCGCCCTCGTCGTCGTTGCTCCACCCCTGCCCAGTCAGGCGGCAGGGTGAACAAGCAGGTGGCTGGCGCGCGAAAGTGTGTGCCTGGGAGTTTTGGGGCGTGGTGCGGCGCCGCCAGCCGCCCCGCCAGCCACAGCAACACACACGCTGGGGAATCGGCAGCGCCAAGCCCGGGCTCACCGCCTTGCCCGTGGCGGCGCCGCCAAACAGGCCGATGGTGCCGTCGCACAGGATGACTGCATCCCCCATCACTCGTGAGTAGGGCATGGGCCCCACCGCCCTCCAGGTGGCATTGGCGCCACCAGTCAGCTGCAGGGCAGAGGGTCAGGCAGGCGGGGGATGCCTTACAATGCACCACACAGGGCCATGCCGCTCACCCGTCAGTCCTTGGCTGTGAGATGCGGGCAGGGGCAGGGCAGGCTGCAGGTGTCAGTGAATCCAAGCTGAAACATTGAAGCCAGGGCGTGCGCCAGGGAGGTGCAGGCTCACATCAATCAGGTCTGCGGTGTCGCTGGCGGGGGTGTAGGGGTCGGCACGGTCCTCAGCCGAGCCGCCCGCCGCAAGCAGCACCACCTTCTTGTAGGGCGAGGCTATCGGCAGCGGCAGGCCCAGCCCTGCAAGGCAGGAGAAGACGACGCAGAGGCAACAGTGGATGCCTGCTGGAGGGAGGGGCTGCCCCCTGCAAGCAGGCAGGCAGCACAGCGGGCATAGTGCAGGGAGAGCGGGCAGGCAGGCCCGGGCACCTGTCTGTGGGTAGGACCAGGGGGCTCCTGGGCGGGGCGGGAGGTCCAGAACCTTATCGAAAGTGAAGGGGCCGGTGCGCTGGTACAGCATCTGCGGCAGACACAGGCGCAGGAAGGAGGTGGGAGGTGAGGGGTGGGGGAGCAGCAATGACGGCACGGAGCCCAGAAGCACTCCTGCCTCAGCCTCTGTCTGCCTGGTTGGCGGCTCGCAGCACTGCCACTGCCACTGGTGCCACTGCCAACCTCAGCACCATGCGCCCCTGCCCACGCACCAGCAAGGTGCCGGAGGACACGGCCACCTTGCCGTCTGGCAGGAGCACCAGGTGGGGGTAGGTGTGCACCGGCCAGGCCGCCGTCAGCTGCGGCTCCATCTCCCACTGGTCGCCGCCAAACGACCTGCAGGCAGGCGGGCAGGATGAGGGCAGCAGACGGTCTCGGGCACAGCATCGGCCAGGCCCCCCAAACCCACATGCCCTCCAACACACACACACACACCGCACGGCTCAGGCAGCCTTCCTTCCATACACCACCACCCCACACTATCACACACAAACACCCTCCTTACACACACCACCACCATGACAGCACCACACCACTACCACCACACCGCACACAGCACGAGGCCCGCCCACCTGCTCTTGGGGTCATACACGGTGTATGTGGGGTTGTCTGTGTCCTCTCTATCCTCGGCCACATACCCCGCCTGGCTGCTCTCCTTGACGCCCCCCACCACCAGCACGCTGCCGTCTGCCAGCGTCAGGACGCTGGGATACCAGCGCCCCGAGCCCATCTCGGCGCCGCTCCACAGCGTGCCGTTGCCGTGGTTGTAGGAGCGGAAGGCCTGCATCCCGTAGTCTTCGTCCTCATCCTTATCGCCGTGCCCGCCAAAGATGAAAACCTCGTTGTCGGCGGTGGTGGTCTGGGCTGCAGTGGGGAGGGGTTGGCAGCGGGGACTGAGAGGCGGGCAGCAGACGGCCTGGAAGCGGCATGCCTGCAGGAAGGGGCCACGCGTACCGGAGCAAAAGGTGTTCTTGCAGTCTGCAATCCCACACCCGACCAGGATTTCCTCGCCGCCCTTCTGGCTGACGCGGTATGTAGCCGTGGGGTATCTCAGCTTGCCGTCCACCTTGGCCGTGTTCTGCGGGCGATGCGGGGCGGGGCAGGGCGGGGCGTTGGTGGAAAGAGGAGGCGACGCTGAGCAGGACAGGTCGACACAGCAGGCTTCCGGGGCAGCTGGGCAGGAGAGGCGGGAGCAAAGGTGGTGGACCAGGCCGTGGTGGTCGTGCAACAGCAGCAGCAGCAGCGGAGAAGCAGGCCGCCGCTCACCGACCACCCCACAACGTCGCCATTCTTCATGAGGTTGGCGTACAGGAAGATGACGGGCACGGTACCGCCAGCCTCCCACGTGCCTGCAGCAGTTGTGGGGCAGGCGGAGAGGCAGGCCGTGTCGTGAACACGCCCTGACGGAGACTGCCGCAAACAGGGCTGCCAGCATAAATGAGGCGACAAGGACGGCACGGGCGGCACAGATGGCACGCACCCCTGCCGCCGGCCGGAATGTAGGTGTTGCCAGACCCCGCCGCCGTCACGTTTTGCAGTAAGCGCCTGTGCCGGCCCCGCTGCAGGTGGTGCGGGGCATGAAAGGCACTGGTGGTCAGCATGCATGGGCGCCTGGCGGCGATGCCGCAAGGCGCCGGTCGCACGCCGCCCCGCCTGCCGCCCCTTGCCCTTTGTGCCGCCACCTCCGCTGGTCAAATGGCTCCTGCACGTTGCTTGGAACGCACCTGGGCAGGCTGGCGCGGCGCCTCCAACCCCCGCCATGCTGCCGCAATTGGCGCGAGGGCGGCATGTGCCGCAAGCAGCAGCAGCACTGGCCACGGGGCCGCCATGCCGGCAAGTGGGCGCAAGGCGATCAAGCCGGGCGGCAGCAGCGGAGGTTTTCAACAACCCCTCCCCAGTGCCAGCTCCCCCTTGGGGTGGCGCTGGCATAATGCGGGGTCTGCAGTTTCGTCTAGTACGCTTTCGCGGGCGCTTGAACATGCCCTACAACAATGGAACGCTTGGAGCGGCTCACAGGCACTGCAGACGGCAGCGGGCACAGGGGCGGGTGCCTGCCACAAAACCGCTGTCACCCCATGCTGGCAGCTGTGTGTGCTGCCAGCACAATTTGAGCCGCCTGCATTCCATCTACTGCTCTGTGAAATGCCTAGGAATGAAATCAACGCAATGCATCAACCAAACACAATCGCCTGCTGCCTTCCAGCCGCATTTCCATGCCGTCCCGCCTGCTTCGCAACTCCATCCCTTGCCCTGGGGCTGGCTGGGGGGCGCCCTCAAGGCCCCCGGTTGTGCAGGTTCTCGTTGAGGGTGTCCATGGGCGTGTCGCTCATGCCGCTGGCCGCCATCCCAGGCTCGGGAGCACTGCCGCCGTCGGTGCTGGCGCCAGCTGCGTGAAGCTCCCGCCTGCAGCGGTGGGCACCGGCGGCGCTCTACGATGGCTTGTGCAGCTCGCGCCTGCAGCCATGTCGGGGGCTGCCAGGTGCTCAGCCCCCCGGCCTTCATGCTATTCCTGCTACACTGCCAGGGAAGCAGGCAATCCCCTCGGGCTAATCCCGGCAGCCGGCCAGCTGATGGCAGCAGCCACCCGCCTGATGTTCTCATTTTCTTCGCGCTGTCGGTTGGGCGTGTTGCTCTGCTCCCCGGCAGCCACCTTCATGTCGGGGAACTGCAGGCAGGCAGGCAGGCAGGCAGGCAGAGAGACAGGAAGGCAGGCGGGCAAAGTCCATGCACATAGTCTCCTTCAGCCCCTTGTCATTTGCGCGGCTCGGGCCTCCCCATCAGCAGCGCTGGAGTCAACGACCGACAGGCCTCAGGCTGGTCGCCGCGTGCAGCCTGCTCACCATCTCGTTCACCGACTGCTCTCCCTCAGGGAAGGCGGGCTTCTCTGTGCCGGCGATCTCCTCATACTTGGCCCGAGCCAGGTCCTCGCTGAGCGGGCCGCTGCAGTGGGGAGGCATGGGGGAAGGTGGGGAGGCAGGTGAGGAGACAGGCAGCGAGGAGCAGGTTTGGCAAGCACCAGTCGCAGGCGGCTCCCAGTCACTCGCTGGTCCCAGGCAGGCAAGCGGCCCTTCCTTCCCCTGCAACCCCTCCCACCTGTTGAAACCCGACTTGGTGCCTGGCGGCGCGTGCTCCATCTTGCCCGCCGCCCCCATGCCGCCGTGGCTCATCTCGGGCCCCCGCTCCGACTCCATGCCCACCGCACGCTTCACTTGCGCCGCGGCATCCTTGGCCTTGCTCAGCAGCACATTCACCCCCATCTCAACTGAATCTGCCAGCCCTTGGCCCGCCTGCGGCGGCGGCAGGGGTGGCAGGGCGAAGGGCGCAACGGGCACGTGGGGTTGCTGCTGGTGCTGGTTTCCATTACACTGCATGGTGTTGCACTGGGAGCACCAGGCCACGGCTGTGCCCCATGCGCCCCACCCATCCCTGGTACCTGCTCCATAGCAGTGTGAGGTGCATCCCGCGCCGTGCAGCATAGCACACCAGCTGCGCGTGGCAGCCAGAACTGGCTGTCGACAGCGAGCGGCAGCTCTGCGCCCACTCACATACTTGACCTCCTCCTTGGCCTGCTCTGCCGAAGCGGGGATGTTCTTGCCCCATACCACCTCCCGCTCCACGCCCTCGTCGCCTGGCCCCGGCACCTGCCGCCCGCCCGGCTGGCCCGCGCCGCCGCTGTAGGCAGGGTGGGTCTTGGCGGGGTCCTGGATGTCCTCAAAGGGCTTGTCAGTGGAGGCCTGAAGGGGTCAGCGCAGCCGGGTAAGTGTATGCCGTTTCGTAATCTCGTTATGGGCGGCGGCATGGCGCCGCCGTGCTTGGCCACCAACAGCAGCAACCCGAATGTGGGCAGCCTTGTTCGGGCAGCCAGCTGCAGCCCGTCCCACTGTACAAGGTTGGAAGCCCACCCCAGAGGCCAGGGCGCTGCCGCCGAGCTGCCGGCGCTGGTGAGCGGCAGCGCCCTGCAGGCAGCGCCGCCAGTGCGGGGAGCGCAGCAGTGACGCCATGCTGCTCGATTCTAGAACAGCGGAAGACAAGGCGAGCAAGAGGCAGAGGCAGGCTCCTGCAGGGAGGTGCTTCCATGCAACTGAAGAAAGCACTCGGCTCATGAGGCAGCCGTCCACCTGCTCCCCACACCATTTCTTCCCATTCCTGCCTCACTGTGAATCGCCAACCATGCAGCGTGCAGGCAAGAAGGCCGCCCAGGCTCAGGCCCTGAAGCAGCAGGTCAGTGGTGCGAAAGTGAGGGCGCCGGCTCGGCCAGCCGGCCAGCAGGGAGGGAGCGGGCAGGGGGCAGCAGGCCGAGGGAAGGCGTGGCGGTGCTGCCAAGGGCTGCGTCAGAGGTGGCTGGCCGCCGCCGCTGACCACCGTCCGCTGGCGCGCACCGCAACAGCTTACCGCCGTTGACCGCCCTCCTCTCTATGTGCCCTGCCTGCCCTCTGCAGGAGATCACTGCCCTGGAGAGCGTGGAGCTGGTCAGGATGCTGCTGAAGACTTCTGTCTACCACGTAAGCATTCGCTGCGGGTGCTGGCAGCTTGCGGGTGCTTCCGGCCAGCGTCGACCGCAGCAACTGAGCAGGAGCCGCTTGTGCTGCCCACCGCGCCCTCCCCCTACCTCCCCGCCTGCAGGTCAGCTTCCTGCGCGGCATCTTCCCTGAGGACCACTACCGGCCCATCGACATGAAGAACCTGGACAGTGAGCGCTGCTGCCGTCTGGCCGCTCACGCCCGCCTGCCTTTCTCATGTGACCACCAGTCCAGCCTTCTCTGAACCCTGCCCCCTCTTGCTGCCCGCTGCAGACATCGAGGTGCGCATGCTGACGGGAAAGACTGAGGAGGCGGCGCGTCTGGTGCAGTGGGTGGAGGGAGGTGAGTTGGCGGGGCTGCTGCCAGCACCCACTTCACCGCCCAGGCCCCAGCGCCACATCCGCTCGATCCCTCCCCTCCCACCTCCAGCTGCCGGTCCATGCTGCTCTGCGCGTCCGCCCACCACCTGCTCGGCAAGCACCCACCGCCCAGGAACACGCCGCATGCAGCCTCCCATGGCCTGCTTGCTCACTCCCTGTCCACGCCGCCGGCGCCTGCTCGCAGGCGTGGCCGACGCGCTGGCGCGCCGCTACCTGCGCAAGGTGTTCTTTGGCTTCAGCAGGGACAAGGAGGGCAAGGATCTGCTGGAGGAGGTGCGGCTGGGTGCTGGGTACTGGCTGGGTGCAAGGGAGGAGTTCTGCTGCTGTGGGTGCTGGCGCATGGTGGGTGCTGCTTGATGCGCCCCTTGATCTTCCCCCATGCATGTCCCCTCAGCTCCTGCCCTCACCCCCAAGTGCAGTACGTGTTCAGCTTCAGCTACGGCAAGGACGGCGAGGTGAGCATGGCCACCAACGGCGGCACCCGCTCCAAGCACAAGTTCAGCACCAAGGACAGCAAGCTGCAGGTGGGCAGTGGGTGCTTGGCCCAGTGCCTGCTCAGCTCCCCGATGGCGGCCTGCTCCGCCATTGCCCTGCTGGCTGCCGAACCTCACCTGCGCATGCCAGCGCTGCCGCACCCCGCACCTGGCGGCCCGTACCTGCAGGGCCCCACCCTGATGCAGATCAAGTACCAGGTGGTGCGCCTCATGCGCATGCTGGTGGAAGTGACCAACACGCTGGAGCAGGTGGGTGGACGGGTGGGCGAGGAGGGCTCAGGGGCAGGCAGGGAGGCAGGCAGTGAACCTGGCTGCCTCTAACAGACAGACATGTGACCCCTCTGGTGGTGTCCTCCGCCATGCCGCACCCCTCCCACACCTCTGCCCCTCCCACACTCACCCCTGCCTGGCCCCTGCCTGTGCAGGTCCCCGCCGAGCGCTACCTGTTCATGAAGCTGACCTACACCGACGACACGCCCGACGAATACGAGCCCCCCATGTTTGGCCCTGCGCCCGACGGCGGCGTGGGCTGCTTCTCCCGCATGCCCTTTGTCATGGAGATCGGCGCGGTGGACACCAAGCACATCAAGGCAAGCACAGACCATGTAGGAGCTGTTCCCGGCAGGCACAGCACTTCGCTGAGGCTGTGGGTGCAGGCATCATGGGCAGGCAGGACCCACCAGCCGCCTCACCCTGCCACCCTGCGCCTGCCTCTGTGCTCTCCTGCAGACCACGATGTCTGTCAAGTCTCTGCTGGACACGGTGGATGTGTCGTGGGAGCGCGACGACATCCCCGTCGCAGACGACAACTCCAGCCTCTTCCAGCAGCACACCACCGCCGCGCCCTCCAACACCACGCGCGGCGGCGACGGCGCCGCGCAGGTGGGCAGGGGGCGGGGTGGCGCCTGAGTTGAGAGGCAGGGGTGTGCGGATGCCATTGGGAGCATCCGCTGAGCAGGACCTGGCTATGCCACCTGCTTACCGCTGCCTGCCTGCCTGCCTGCCTGCAGGAGGGGTCGATGGGCGGTGGGTTCAGCTGCGCCGGGGCGCCCGCCAAGCACGAGACCCCCATGAAGGACGTGCAGGAGGTCACAAAGGTGTGCAGTGGCTGGGCCTGCCCTCTGCCCTGCCCTGCCACTACAGCCTTGCCCGCCACACCCATGCCCTGCTCGCACCCTCACCCCGCCTGGCCCCCACCTGCTGCAGGCGCTCACGCCGGCCTCTGGCCCCATGCCCGCCAGCGCCGCCGCCGCCGGCGAGCACATGTCGGAGCAGGTGGATGAGATCCGGGCCTGGGTGCTGGCCCGCCCTCTGCCCGAGTGCCACATCCTGGACGCCCTGGCCCGCTTCAGCCACCGCCCCTCCTTTGACATCGACGCCATCTTCGCCACCCTGCAGCGCCAGGGCGTGCTGGTGAGGCGCAGCCACCGCCGCTGCTTCTGTGCGGCTGTGGTGCCGCTGCGGGAGAGGAGGAAGTGGCGGGATGCGTGGGCGGCCTGCCCCCTGTCTCACCAGCAGGTTACTAAAGACCACCACACCCCAGCCCAGCTTTTACAATTGTTTCGGCCTTCATGCTGTGCTGCTGCAGGTGCCCACAGGCGAGCCCGACAACTACAAGATCGTCAAGGCCCCGCCCGAGGCGGCGGCGGCTGCAGAGGCGGCGCCCACAGAGCCCATTTCCGCCGCCGCTGTGGAGCTGCTGGAGGCAGCAGAGGCGATGGGGCGCTTGACCGTGGGCATGCACTCGCAGCAGGGCGGCCTGCACGAGGCGCCCGGCAGCCAGCGCACCGTCAGCGTGGCCGACAAGCGCAAGGCGGGGCCGGAGGAGAGCGAGGGCGGGGTGCGACCCACACAGCTCGTCTTCCCTGACACCCAGCAGGCCAGCCAGGCGGGCGGCCCCAAGAGGCGCAAGGCCAGCGTTGTGGACGAGCCCATCAGCCAGCACGGGCGCCAGCGCAGGGGCGCGGGGGCGGGGGCTGCTGTGGCAGCCGAGGCCTCTGCGGGGGCGCGCCGCCGCAGCGCGCGCCACATGCACTGAGCCGCTCCTGCAGGCATGCGCTGCAACACTGCGACACCTGTCTGCACTGCAGCTGACATGCAATGCACCTTTCCTGGGTGCACGTGCATTTGACCACCCGCCGCTATGCACCCGCCTGATGTCGACATTCGTAAATTACTTACACGACTGAAGCAGTGGGTCACTGTCAGGCAAAGGAGCATGCAACAGAGCCCAAAATGCACACACCAGCCAGGCACCTCACGCGGCTGGCTGCCCCTCTGCGCCAGCCGCCAGCAGCACCGCCACCGCCTCGCGCTTGTTGACCCTGGCAATATCCAGTGCCGTCTTGCCCTGCTCGTTCATCGCGCCCTTGTCGGCTCCGTGCTCCAGCAGCAGCTGCACGCACTCCGCGCTGCCTCGCCGCGCCGCCAGCTGCAGCGGCGCCCACCCCTGCTCGCACGCCTGGTCGACCCTGCCGCCCCCAAACCTGCCCGTGCCCAGCAGCAGGCGCAGGATGCCGGCCCTGCCGGCGGCGGCTGCCACGTGCAGCGGCGTGCCACCCTCCCCCATGGCCTGGTTGCCCAGCGTGGGGTCGGCGCCCGCGCCCAGCAGCAGCTCCACGGCACGCTCGTCCTGCAGCAGATGCAGACGCGTTAGCCGCCAGATGGGCAAGGCATGTGAGGGCGGCCCGCGGGCACACGCTGCGCTCTCCAGCCCGCCCCCCAGCCCCAGCAGCGCGCCCAGCCAGCCACAGCCTCGACCCACGGCAGCCCACCGTGCCCCCACCCCCCACCAAACGGCCCCAGCCTCCCACCTGCGCCTCCAGGGCCAGGTGCAGCGGCGTGGAGCCGCTCGTGTCCCGCAGGTCCAGCAGCGCGCCGCGCCCCGCCAGCAGGCGCAGCATGCCCAGGTCGCCGCCCTCCGCCGCCACGTGCAGCGGGGCCTGGTGCAGGGAGGGCACCGGCACCGCGCAGTCCAGGCCCCTGGCGCGCACGCTCCACCCCCCCGCGGCATACCGGCTCGTGTCCCTGCACGGCAGGCGGCGGGGGTGGGTTGGGGGGCAGGCGTGTGGCAGGGGCAGGGCGGGGGTGGGCAGGGGTAGCCGATGGCGGTATCCCGCTGTGCACCCAAGACCCAGCACAGGACAGCACATCGCACAGCACGTGCAGGCGCTGCTGCTGCCGCCGCCGCCGCCGCTCCCGCCCCTCCACACCCGCCTGTTCTGCACGTCTGGGCTGGCGCCATAGTCCAGCAGCAGCTGCGCCGCCTCCAGCTGCGCCGTGTCGGCGGCCAGGTGCAGCGGGGTGTTGCCGGCGGCGTCAGGAAGGTCAAGGCAGTGGGGCTTCCCCGCCGCCTGCTGCTGCCCGCTCGTGCCCCCATTCTGCTGCTGCTCCTGCCCATCAGCCTCCCCCAGCTGCTGCGCCGGCTGCAGGCCCCCATGCCCCTCCTGCAGCTCGCCTGGGCCGCCATCCCCGCCACCAGCTGCTGCTGCCGCAGGCGCGGCCCCGGTGAAGCCGGCGGTCGCCGCCACCGGCAGCAGCTGGCGCAGCAGCTGCAGGTGCCCCCCGGCGACCAGGTTGTGCCACAGGCTGCGCCCATCCATGTCCCGCGCCGCCGCCAGCCCCTCCTCCCGCCTCAGCAGCTCCACCAGGCGCTGCCCCGCCTCCGCGGCCCCGCCCTGCTCCTCGCCGGCACCTGCAGCGCTCTCTGCGCCGGCGTCGGCCGCCGCCAGCAGGCGCCGCGCGCGGCTCAGCAGCGCCAGCGCCTGCAGCTGGCCGCAGTAGCGGCGGTCGAGGCGGGCCGCCACGGTGACGACGCCCGCCACCGCGCCGCCGTTGCCTTTGCCCAGCACCTCCCACATCTCCTCCCGCGACTCAAAGTCGTCCACAGCCTCCAGGAGGAAGTCGTCGGTGAAGGAGTAGGCAGCGGGGTCGCGCTCATCGGAGGCTGGGCTGCAGGCGGGTGCGGCGAGGGCGTTTGGGCAGGGGGAAGGGGAGGCGATGAGGGAGGTGAGCGGTGGGGAGGCAGCGAGCTGGAGGTGGGCATGCGATGACGGGCACCGTGGTCAACAGCAGCAATGGCAATCGGTTTCTGGGAGGCGGCACCCGCTGCCCAAGACTGCCCTACCCGCCTGCCCGGTCGGCACCCGCCACCCTCCTGTCCCCGCTCACTGGCGCGTCACGTAGGCCGTCAGCAGCTCGTCCCGCAGCGCGGGCCGCCCGCGGATCACTTCCTTGAGCAGGCTGAACAGCGCCTTCTCAAACAGGTCCACGCGGCTGGCCTCATCCAGCGCCTCCACCCAGGCCGCCACCTCGCCCTGCAGCCGCGGCGAGGGCGGCTCCGGCCCGCCGTCGGCGTCTAGGCGCTGCCGCTTGGAGGCTGCAGGGGAGGGGCCATTCATGTAGCCAATGAGGGTCTCTTCATGGCTCGTGTTCCTGTGCAGCTGAAGCCGACAAGAGGGTGCAGCCCACCTGGCGCGCGGGCCTCCGCCTCCCGCCGCGCCTCTCTGAGTTCCTCGTGAGCGCCGAACGGCTCCCAGCTGGCACCCTGTGACCATACTAGCGTACTATCTGTGACAACGCCTTGCAAAGCCAGCTGCACGAGGCCCTCCAGAGAAACGGGCCCCTCAGCGGCCTGGTTGCGAACAAAAAACCAAGCATCCATGAATGCTTAATGGTAGATGATTACGATGATTTATTGAGGCAATGCAGCTCGACTTTCCGGAATTGGCAATATGCGGTGGCCGTGCTGCGCTCAGGGACTCTACAAGGTCCTCCTGCCGCCTTTCAGATCGATACATCCACTCACCACGCAGCTTTGAAACCCAGCACTGCTACCATCAATCGCCTCCGCTGCTGCCGGCCCCATCGTGCACCCTCTCCTGGCTGCTCTACTCCCGGCTGGCAGGCCCTGAGGGGCCCCTTGGGCAGGGATGACGGCGGAGTCCATTTCAGAATGGAAGCACAAGAGCGTCCGGGCGCACCGGCGCAAGGTGCGGGCGCCGCCTGCTGCACCTGGCCAGCCGCTCGGCCTCCCCGCCGCTGCCAGCGCCTGCTCAGCAGCCTGCCTGCGCCGGCCTTCAGGTGTTCACGCTGGGCTGGAACTCTGAGGGCAAGCGGCTGGCCAGCGGGTCTGTTGACCAGACTGTGCGCATCACTCGGGTGGATGACCACTGCAACGTGAGGGGTGCATGAAATGCTGCTGGCATGCTGCAGGCTTGCAGCCTGGTTTCAGTCTGCAAGAGCAGCTTGCGGCAGCATGCAGCGCTGGGCAGCAGCGTGTGGGCGGGCGTTCATAGCACGAGCTGCCTCCTGGCCTGCAGCTGAAGCAGGAGTCTGAGCTGCGGGGGCACAACGACGGCGTCACATACCTCAAGTGGCACCCCACACACCCCGACAAGCTGGCCTCCATCGCCGGGCAGGAGAAGAGCGTGCGGTGCGTGGCGGGCTCTTGCAAGCGCCGGCCTGGCTCCTTCCGCGCTCGCGCCCTCCTCGGCACCCTGGCATTGAGCGGGCTGCCTCCTGCAGTGGCCTCATTGCACCGCAGTTGCAGCCAGGCATCACTTGACTTCGCCCCTCCCCCTCGCTGCCCCGAACTGCCTGCCATCGTGGCCCCGCTCCTCGCTGCCGCCAGGTTCTGGGACACTCGCTCCTCCAAGAACACAGCGACCGTGTCCACCCCTGGCTCCAACCTGTACATGGCCTGGTCTCCTGACAGCCACCACGTGGCGGTGGGCAACCGCGAGGATGTGGTGTCCATCGTGGACACGCGGTGAGCTGGGTGCTGAGGTGGCCGCTGGACTGGCCGCTGAGGTGGCGCCCAGGTGGCACCAAACTGGCGCCCGCTTCTTTTCGGCTGCCTGGCCGGCGCCAGCGTGCTCCCATTCCTGCCTGGCTGCGCCTGCCTGCATTCTGGACCGCCGCCAACAGCCTGCCTGCCGCCGCAACCTGGCATGCACGCCCGCCGCCACCCCTGCCTGCTGCAGCAAGATGAAGGTGGCCCACAAGTACCCCTACAAGTTCCAAGTGAATGAGATGGCCTACACGCGGGACGGCAAGCAGCTGCTGATGTGCACTGGGCAAGGTGGGTCAGGCGCAGAGCAGGCGAGGCAGGCGTTTGGGGCGCGGAGTGAAACGGCCAGCGAGGCCTAGGCTGGAGGGCGTTCGCTGCCGCCATGCGCCACCCACCATGCCCGCCCTGCCCGCCTGTGCACCTTCCAGGGGATGTTGAGATCCTGAGCTTCCCAGACATGCGCAAGCAGCGAGCGCTCAAGGGCCACACCGCCCCCGTCATGTCGGTGGCGCTGGACCGGCAGCAGCGGTTCATCGCCACGGGCGGTACGGATGCGGTGGCGTGCCTGTGGGATACGCAGGTGGGTGGTGGGTGTGGCCGGTCAGCGAGGCGCAGGGCAACCTGTTGGTTCCGATGCCCTGCCCTGCCCTGCGCTGCACTGTGCACGTGCCCGCCTCTGATGGTACCAATCACAGCAACAACTGCTGGGCGGCTGCCGTGCCGCCATGCCTCTGCAGGACTACATCTGCCAGCGGACATACATAGCCATGGACTACCCCATCCGGTGCCTCAGGTGCGGTGCCTGGGTCCCTGCGCAGCATCCCCAGCCTGCAGCAGGGGTTCTGGGCGACAGGCATAGCACTGGCTCCCCTGCGATGCCACAGCCGCCTGCTTGGCTATTAGCTGATCTTCTACCCCTTTGCCTTGCTGGTGCAACCTGTGCCGTGCCACGCCCTCCCTTTCCCCCTTCTGCAGCTTCAGCCATGACTCGCGGTATCTGAGTATAGCCGGGGAGCAGGCGGTGCTGGATGTGGAGAATGTGGAGAGCGGGCAAAGCCTGGGGCGGCTAGTGCTCAACGCCCAGTGAGTGCGCCGCCATGGTGGCAAACTTGCGTTTGTGAGGCTTGCGCAAAGGTGTAAGGGAGTGCGGCGCCAGGTGCATGGCAAGCGCAATGGGCGGGGAGAACGGCTGCTCAGCACCGTCTCCCTTGTTTTTTTATTGCCGCCCCGGTCCCCTGCAGCCCAGAGGACGTGGCATGGAATCCGCGGCACCACATGCTGGCCTATGTGGGAGCGTACGGGCGGGACAGCACTGGAATGGAATATGGGGAGATTGAGTTCCGGTGGAAATGACGGGGCGAGCGAGGCGGCCTCCCGCCTTCTCTGCTTGGGTGCTTGCCGCCGGCTGGCTTGTAACTCGCTCTGCAACAGAGACCTGAGTCACCCAGATCACACAGCATCTTGATCAGAGGCAACTGCTGGCAGCAGTGCGCCTGGGAATGAGGAATTCCAGTGTGGCGGCGGCGGCAGGTTTCGCGCCAGGCGGGACAGCCGGCGGCGGGACATCCTCGCGCTCCTTGAATCAGAGGGTCGTGATCGCCGGTACTGTTCACACGACCAATCTGGCTTTCAGGACGCGTGCGAAGACCTCCTAGCTTTCTGCGCGTGCACTGCGACACTGCTTCAGGTGCGACACACGCATGCGGCGTCTGTGCGGTCTGAGACGCTCGTACAAGGCTGATCCAGGACGTAGCGGAACGGCCGGAAGTGCTCCAATGTGGCAGCCTGCGCGCTGCCTGTGGCCAACGGCAGCGGGCGCTCCCACCTGGCGGCAGCGGTAGGTGCCTCGATCCAGGCTTGCCCGGTCTGACAATCCAGTGGCTGGCTCCTGAACTTTGCAGCCATGGCAGCCACAGAGGACTTCCAGCGGGCGCTGGACCGGATTGCGCAGCACCTGGCGCCAGAGAGCGAGGCGACGTCGCAGGCGGCGGCGTCGGTCACGATCACGCTGATGCTGCAGCAGACCCGCCTGCCTGCAGACCTGGGCCCCATCACCGCACGCCTAGCCAGCCTGTTGGAGGCTGGGGAGCTAGCTGTGCAGGTATCTAAAGCCGTTTGACTTGATTGCGGGGTGCTCTTGCCGCCGCCAGCCTCGAGGCGTTGGCGTCACGCTCCATTGGCCCGCCTCCCCTTGATACGATGTGCAGAGAAATGCGGCGGCAGCCTTGTCAGCATGTCTGGAGAGCAGCGACACGCCGGTGGTGGCCTGCATAGAGAACCGCGTGGTGAGCGCAGCGGCAAGCCATGAATGCACCGCCAGCCACGATTGCCTGCTATGCGAGCAGGCACCACCAGCTGGCTGAGCAAGCTGGCTGAGCTTGCACTGGCAACATGAGACCCCGAGCCGGCTTTGCAAGTCCTGACCCTGCACCTGGGGCCCGGGTGCAGGCTGAGCGTGCGGCTGCACTGCTGGAGGGCGGCGCGGAGGATGGCAGCCTGGTGCTCAACCTGCTGGTGCTGCTGGGCACGCTGGGGGAGGCCAGCGAGGAGACGGCACAGCTGGTGCTAGATGCCGGCGGGCCGCAGCAGCTGCTGCGCCATGCGGAGTTGCAGTGCACCGAGCAGCTGCAGGAGGCGGCGGTGGATGGCTGCTGCAAGCTGGCCGCCAGCAGTGCCGCCGCCAAGGATGCGATGGCGGCGGCGGGCGCCCTGCCCCGTCTGGCCGCGCTGCTGCTGGGCGGCGGCGATGGCGGCAGCGGCAACGGGAGCGGGAGCGGGGCCGAGGTGCGCGTGCGGGCGCTGCTGTGCCTGGGCATGCTGGTGGGCGGCTCCCCGGAACGGCAGCTGGAGCTGGCGGGCGTGCCGGGCGCCGTGCCCGCCCTGCTGCGCCTCATGCGGCAGCAGGATGACCACGACTGCCAGCAGATTGCGGGGGGGCTGTTTAAAGAGCTGGCCGGCAACGCGGAGGCCAAGGGCGCCATCGCAGCGGCGCTCAAGGAGCAGCAGGCGGCAGACGCCAGCGCCAAGTTTTTGTGAGCGTCTCGCTGGTTCAACTCTGCTCTGCTGTTGTCCTATTGGTTGACCTGGCTGGTTGCGCACTGCGCCAATCCACACTGCTGTAAAACAAGCACGCGACGGGAGCATGGTGGGAACCCGTTTGTCACTCAATGCCGCGGCCACAGCGACGCCTCCTCTTCCGCCGCCAGCCCCACCTGCTCGCCGCTCAGCTGCCACAGCTCTGCCGCAAGCGCTGGATCGCGAGCTGCCGCCGAGGCACGCCTTGGCTGCAGGGCGTGCAGATACAGCTCGTGCCTTCCTTCCAGCTCTGGCGACAGAGCGGCGTACAGCGGCGTGCTGGCGCCCTGCGCCGCCGTCTGGAAGCAGGAGGCGGCCAGCCAGCGCAGCGGCGACTGCAGCGCTCCTGGCACGTTGCCAAAGATGCCGGTGTTGACGCGGCCGGGGCTCACGGAGGAGCAGGTGACGGTGCTGTGGCGCTGCTGCAGCCGCCGCGACAGCTCAGCCGTCATCAGCACGTTGCACAGCTTGGAGCAGGCGTAGTGGGCATACCAGCTGCCGCTGCCGCTACTGTCCAGCTGCCGCCGCCCGGTGCGCTCGTCACGGGCGATGCGCAGGCTGCCGCGGTGGTGTGCCTCGCTGGCCACAGTCACGACGCGACCCCCCGGCGCCATCAGCGGCAGCAGCAGACGGGTGAGCAGGTAGGGGCCCAGGTGGTTGGGGCGCCAGTGTGAGCAGCTGCCATCCGGTCCTGGCGGCAGCCCCATCACGCCCGCGTTGTTCACCAGGCAAGCCAGCTCTGTGGATGGAGCTGATGCTTGCAGCTCAGCAGCAAAGTGCCTGATGGAGACATAGTCGTCGAGATCGAGGAGGCGGCATTCGCAGGAGCCGGGCAGGCGGCGGGCATCCAGGCTGGCCTTGGCCGCCTCGCAGCGCTGCAAGCTGCGACAGGCCATGATCACGTGGTGCCCTGCGCCTCGAAGCCCTGCCGCCACCTCCAACCCTGCAGTGGCACGAGAGCTTGCGGAGGGGTAGGCGGCAGCAACACCGGCAACGGCGGCAGCGGCGGCGGCAGTGGTGGCAGAGAACAGCGCTGCGGCGGTCGATTGGCTGTTGTTTTTTGCCATACCTATCCCGTTATTTGCTCCTGAAACAACGCTTGTTCGATCGATTCGAGTTGAGGCGGGCCCCATGTGAATGTGATGGCGACCGATGGCGGGCTGCTGGAGGTGGGATGATTCGATTATAGGTGTGGAGATTGAGCAGGCTCTCTGATATGGCAGTCCACGAGAGCGTAGTGCTTGCAGTACACAGTGCAATCAAAAGCGGAGTGCGCCCAGCACCGTGGGATAGCGCTTGGGTTGAGCGGCGTGGGATAGGTGGGACGTTCAGTCGGCCCTCGACACGCACACTCTCCCGTGTCTTCCTGCCCAGAGCAGAATGAGCCAAGCCACCGCCTTCCGGCATGGACAGCGGCCCAGCAGCCCCAGCAAGGTGCTGCTGGCCTCCAACGCCCAGCCCGATAGCCCCAGCGATGAAGCTTGGTCGCTGAAAGCCCATCCTGGAGGCGCCTCCAGGATCCCGCGCCCTCCCCAGGCCGTTCCAACAACTCCAGGCGACCAAGGCATCAAGCACGGGGTGCGGCGCGGCCCAGCTTGCTGCAGCTGTCGTCACCTGCCGCCGCCGCCGCCACCTGTGCCGCCACCTGCCCCAGCCACTCAGGTCCAGCACCCCCCCC